GCATGTTGTGCACTTCAAGCAACTCGTCCAAGACTTGGAGTCAAGGCGTTTCAAGGTGTAGCAAGACATGAATGTAGCGATGTGACAGGTGGGGTGACGCCTTGCCACCACCATGCCCGCACCTAGCTCCTAAGTGCCTGGCTCATGACGCACCCTAGCTAATGCATGCCTGGGAATGTGTCTCAAGGGCAAGTATGGCTTAGAATCGCTAGCCTAGTGAAGTTCCCCAATAGAGTGATTTTGCACCAAGAATCCACACGAATTTTTCAATACAATTTCCCTGAAAATCCTTCGGGGAATAACATGTTGGGAAGGTGCTTTTGCTATAGGAAAAATTCAAATTTAAGCAGAACTGCCGCTATGTGCGTTGTTGCGGCTCTTCTGGAGCACCTACCGGTAGGGCACATCCCTATATGCTGTAGTGTGCATCGCGCCGACGTTCAAACATGACCGCTTTGAGGTGGTCGATGAACACTGGGGGATAGGATGTATCAGTTGGCTGGTTTACGTTCGGCACTATACCACTGCTCGCCTATGATATCCTCGATCATCTACTAGTGCGTCCTACCTATCGCTCCTCTACGTTTGGTGCCGACCATGCCATTCATCCATGAAGCGAAATTGGTCATTTGTATGTTCAAGTGTTTTGATTGGCTACTGTGTGTGAAAAGGTATTCCCAGTCAGAAATTCTGACAGAATATATTCATCAAGAAATTCCCAATATAATCAGATCAAAAGGCTTCATCGTGAAACTTTTCAGGAAATATCACGTAGCAAAATCACTCTAATGTCTCAACCGCACCCGCATCCATTGTATACAAAAGTGCATATTAGTGTAGAAAGTAGTGAAGTAGACTAAGAAGATTTCATAGTGATGAGGAATAAGGAGATCTTTGTAGATCTTCAGTTAATTCATTGTGCATTTTGCCCTCAACTACACACGCTTCCTCCCGCAGTGCTACAATGTGGAACTGAAGTCACAAGCCTTTGTCAGCAAGCCAACTGCTTGTACGAGTGAATTGCTCCTGTAGTACAAATACTAGTATGGTCGTGGCAGGCACCATGTGTACACAGACATACCCATTTGAATTATAGAGGAAATAAGTGCCCAAGGATCCAGGGAACCCCAATTCATGTGTGAGGATCTCACCATTTTTCAATCCTCAACACTATGACAGGAACAACTTTTTCGTTGCAAGAGTCGTTGCCGTCGCTAACGCACGACGATATCTCCATCTCTTTGTGAGCATCTTTTGCGATGACAACGCTCAGCCTTGCACCACCCTCGTATCCACGTCTACCACCACTTCCCCAATCAAACCTCAGCTATTCACACAAAGCAACACCACCAGGAGACCCAACATCTTCTCAGACTACAGCCTGTGTCCTGAACACTGCTCCAAGCACCGAGGCGTCAAGCTCTGCAAGCGGCATGCTTGCCAGAGCGGCGGCTTGTGTCTCAAGCACGGTGAGGGCCAGCGGTTCTCGATTCCTCAATGCTCTAACACCGTGAAATCCAAGCGGCTTTGCAAGAAACATGGGGGCGGGCTGCGCTGCCAACTGGACGGCTGCAACAAGAGTTCACAGGGAAAGGGCTTTTGTAGGAACCACGGCGGCGGCCAACGCTGTGCCGTACCACATTCCACCAAGGGGACTCAGCGAGGCCATTACTGCAGTCGACATGGCGGGTACCCAAAGTGCATTGTCGACGGATGCCTTCGAGAGAATCGCGGCGGGGGGCGATGTGCGAAACACCGAAACGAAACTCTCCCGAGTCCTCCTAAGTCGGAAGTTCTCGCGGAACTAGTCAGTCTGTAGTAGTTATTCTACTACATAGCTTCTCTAATTTAAAACAAGTTGCATCCACCCAACTGAATTGTCTTTTACCGGCAGTATACCGTTTGTGAAATACTAGAACTCTCTGGAGGACTGTAAAGTAATGGGGGGGGGAAGAAACGAGAAATACGCCCCCGCTGCTATTTCTACGGCCAGGTAAGGGCTGGCGCCAGCACGTACTACAGTGTAACCGTATGAGTGATCAGTATTTCCCAGGACAGTTATAATTTATCATACTGTAATCGTCCAAGAGGTACTCTGTTAACGGTAGTGGCAAGTTTGTGCCTCATTCATTTTGCATGAGTGATCAACGCTAATTGTTCCCGAGGTCATGTAAAACCCTTGACGTTACTGACACCATCCAAATTACATTACTATTTGCCCCGACATTTCTCACCGACACACTACCGTCACAGCCACACAGTCAATCCAAATTCTACAAATGTACTAGTAACGTTATTGGTGTTGTAGCTTGAGGGGGGGTCAACTCCTAAGGTAAACAATGGGACAGTTTGCATTTCAAGTTTATTTGAGGTTATGTTGACTCCACACAAAAGGGGTGATGTCCGTGACCGCGGGGGATGGGCCAGACATACATCTGTAGCAGTATCAGGGGTTCCCCCCATACATATAGGAACATAAGGGTGTATCCTAGCTCGAGGGGGCCATTATGCAAATCATCACTGATTCGGTAAGGTAATTCTAGCCTTCACCTGGTAAATCCCCCTTTTCATGGAGACATCGTTGGCGTCTAAATATAGCCGACACACGCCGGCTACAACCTCACTGGGCTGTTGACACGCTATGGCAATCCTAACGTGCACCCGGGTGAGTCTGGTCTTGCTCGCGGCGGGCGTGGTCGCCTGCTTTGCCTACATCGGTGCGCTCAAGCCCCCTTACTGGGACCAAGAGCCCCCTGCATTCAACACGGCAGCGTGTGCCGCGTGTGCCAACAAGACTGGCAGCCCTTGCCCCAACGTATTTGCCTTGGGCTCGCCCGATATCAACGACGGGGTTGTCTGTTCCCAAGTGTACTTGTGTGATATGCTTTTTTACTGTTTTGGCTAAGTTTTCGCGTGGTAGGACTTCGACGTGTTGTTGCCCATACAAAGACCCCAATTTTGGCTCGGTCCGATGCGCCAATATGTACACGATGACCACTCCCACTTGCAAGTGCCGGTATGAACGGCAATGTGGCGAGAATTGCTTTCTTAACGAAGGGTTGGTCCCGCTGTTCATTGGGCTCGTGGGCTGCGCGCTCATCTTTTGCATTGGCGTGGGGTCCCTCTGTCACCACATGTGCAAATCAAAGCAAGCCCCATCTCAGCAGCCTGGCGTTGGCCCCGACTGTACATGATCGACAAGGTTGTTTCTACTGGTAGTTAGTCGGATGACATTATTACTCCAGTCCCATCAATGCTTGCATCCTTCCTACTATGACTAGATAGTAGTACTGTAGTATGTGGTAATCATGGAATACGTATCGCCCAATCAACCCAACCCCAATACTACTAGTACTACTAGTACTACTAGTACTAGTATATGTTTCCAGTGAATATCTCTTTTATCATATTATATCCACATTACATGACCCGCTCGTTCATGGGTCCCACTGCTTTGCCAGCGCCTTGTGCGATTGCTCCAGCAGCGGCGACGCCTCGGTCGGTCCCCCTTGTTTGGACGTTCTACCATTCGTCTCGTGTCCCCCCTTCTTCTTCTTCTTGGTACTACTACTAGTACTACTACTAGTACTCCCCGAGTCGGCCTCGTACAACGCCCTCTTGAACGCCGATTCGGCCGCGACGAGCTGATCGTCCAGCGATTTAGGAACGCTCCGCCACGAGCTCCAGAACAGCCACGCGCCCACAAAGAGCACATTTTCACTCACGAGGATCATCACGAGTCGGGTGCTCATATCAAAACACTCAAACGAGGGGCCAAATCGAAACGTGTCGAGGTCGATACGCGCGACGCAGCGGGGCACAAAGAACTCGACGGCGCCCGTCGACACAAACACGAGACCCGTGTAGACGAGGACCCCCACACAAGCCAGGATCACAAACATGGTGTACCACTCGCCGATGCCGCCAGCTTTTTGCGGCAGCGGGCGCTGCATCTTGGTGCAAAGCCGGTACCCGTCGCCTCGGTACTTCAATGCGTTGATGCAAAAGCAGCACAGGGGCATGAGTGGCCACAGCATGGAGAACATCACGACAAAGCCAAACTGCACCATCGCAGTGTGGTAGTCATCATATGGATCGTACTTGTCTTGGTTGCACTGGAACAGCACTTCCCTCGCCACCCGGTGCAGCGCATCCCACGCCTGAACGTCTACTTGCAGGTCCTTGGCCTTGGAATCACTTGCGAGCCGTGCTGTCACCGTTGCGTGGGGGGGTCGGCTGTGTGGGGGGAGTAGAAGTGGATGCATCGAGATATCCGGGGGGCCGTACTCCAACGCAGCCAGAATAGCCGCATCGCGCTTCCTTGCATCTTGTGTGGTGAGAAATGCCAGGGCTTGATGGTCAGTGCGCTTGCGAAGTGCCACGTGGCGCCGCCGGAGGGCCCATGGCACGAGCAGCTGAATCAGCAGGTTCAGTGCCTGGGCGACTACTATCGGCGTCACAAACAGGGATTCCAGGTTCAGATGCTGCAAGTCAAACGTCACGTAGCTACAAACATATGACGATTACCATGAATAGATAATATATATATATATATACCCTTTGCAAGGATTACACTGGCGGGGGTTGAAATCCGATGATGCCATCGAATGCCAAGGCGGCGGACATGATGAGCAGATGCTGGCCCACTGGTCCAAGTACGGCCCAAAGCAGCAGTTGGCTTCGTCTTGAAACAGGACAGTGTTGAGAGCATTCGTGATGGTATCGCCGGCGCCTACGAATAATCATAACATATTTGTGAATATATATATATATACGATATTTGGTAATCCTTGAAATCAATCAATAGTCATAAATCTCCTTCATATTAGTATACGTTTGGACTTCAAGCAATTCATGAATACATATATATATATACTTTATATCATATAAGCAATCAATCGCCAGGCATCAATGTCATATACATTTACAATCTCCGTTCTAAACCGGTTACTTCTAAACTTATGTATAAAGCACACCACATAATCCTATACTTCTACGACAACTCTATGCTACAATATATATCTATTTATCTATTTATCTATATCTCAATCAAAGATACGATAAACACCCACATTATCACAATCATCTATATATATATCATAATATATACATATATACACACACTATATGTATCATTCAAACTAGTCATAAACCCACATATATATATAATATATCCATGAAAATATGTATAAACCCACATGTATATATATATATACATATCTATAAACCCACATATATATAACAAATATATATATATATACATCAAACCCACGGTATGTAGTTCGTACCTGGCACCACGTACACAAACGCGAGCAAGAAGAACCACGTGTAATAATTGAGAAAGTCCATGCAAAACAGTTTCCGAATCAACGACCGCTCAAACTGTTCAGTGGTGCGCCAGTTCTCCCACTGGGTACACAGCTGAGCCACAGGTTTGACCACAAGTTCCCACTGCACCACGTCCACAAACAGCCCAAAGACGATGCCACCCCCCAGCACACTCAGCCACTGAACCCCCCCAAAGCCCGTGTTTGGAAACCGGATTTGAAACGTCTCGTACGTGGTGATCCACGCCGCGATGAACAGCATCATGATGGCGATCTGCACGACCATAAACACTGTCACAAACAAGTACACGGGCACCCGCTTCCACCACGCGTACACGACCTCGACCTCATTCGTGACGGGATTCAGACGTTCGGTACCGACAAAGTGCGGGTTCGGGTACAGCAGGAACTGGGTGTGCAGGTCGTTCTTCCATGTAAAGTTGACCGCAGAGTTCTCCCGCCGCCATCGCTTTAGGAACCAAAAGCTCCAGATCACAGACACGAAGAACCCCCACACTACCAATAGTTGCATGTACAACGCCGTGCCTGCAAATAGTGTGAGACACCACAAATCGAGTAAGGTAGTAAAGTATACATCTGATTGGACTACTCGAATACTAGTAGTACTAGTAGTAGTACTAGCAGCACACCATGACTCTTGAAGCACACACATACATTTGTGACTATACGAGTATGAACAGAGTCATTTCAAAGGCCTCGTAGGAGGAGGAGGAGTAGTACTAGTACTACTACTCTTCTGATCTACTAGGACAAGCCAAAGTACTAGTA